GGGTGCCGTCAGAATGAGAGCTGATAAAAACATCACAATAATCCACAGCTCTCCAGTCCGTCAGAGAACATCTGGAGAAGACAGATTTTGTCTGAACTATGTACTAATGCTTTCTGACGGCACCCATTCACTGCAGAGCATCCATTGCTGAGACGCTGAATGTTACATCTCTCCAAACCAGGCCTACATTGTCAGCAAATCGTCACTTTTACGTGAACTATTTATTTTATGATGCAACTTGTTTTAATTTTTTATTAATTATATTTACATTATAAAAGTGTAAATGTAGACTATTGGGACAAACGAGTGCCAGCTAGAAACAAGATCAGTGAAAGTACATTCCAATTAAACCGTGTCTTGAAACTTAAATTCATATTTATTTCTATTTTAATGTATGTGACTAACTAATGGACTACTGAGCATTAGACCGGTTTAAGCACTCTGTCTGATCTGCATGAAAATAACAACCCTTTCTTAAGCACTGAACGCCTTAAAGACAACTGAAAGAAATGGGAGAGTTATGCTGGGTACTTAAACAATAAGCATTAAAGGGATAGTTCACCCAAAAATGTAAATTCTGTCTTTAATTAGGGGTGTTCGGTTCCTCGACTGTCCGAAACACTGTAATTAAGCTAAATGAGTTATGAATTTGTCACTTTATAATGAGTCAGGGGATGGCGCTGTTGTCTTAAACAGCATTGATATTAAAAATACATAAATTACATTTACATTTAGTCACTTAGCAGACGCTTTTATCCAAATGAGGACAATAGAAGCAATCCGAATCTACACGAGAGCAATATAACGAGTCTCAGTTAGCTTAACACAGCACACGGAACAAGGTTTTGTTATTATATAATAAATAAAAAGCAAATGTATAGAATAGAGCAAGCTAGTATCGGAGGCCTTTTGTGCTTTTACAAAACAACACAAAACAAATAGAGAGAGAACACAAAAAGATTAGAGAAGCTAGTGTTTTTTTTTAAAGATGCAAAAATGCATACGAGTGTAAACTTACTGATTTGTTTGTTATGTGAGTTTTTAACGATTTAAGGTTAATGGTTGAAGACGAATAGCCCAGGTTAACCATGGAAAACCACATAGCGTTAAACATAACATCGCATCAACTAAACTGCAAAGCTGTCGCAGAAGCATGCATAATCACAAATTAAATTTACTGTGACTGCTATTTATTTATTTCTAAAGTAACCTTCACGAAGGGTAAAAGTATGGGGGAGAAGTCGTTTCAAAAATATCTTGATCCGTGTTCCGAAGCTGAGCGGAGGTCTTGCGGGTTTGGAGCGACGCGGGGATGAGTAATCGGTGACAGAAGTTCCATGTTTGGGTGAACTAACCCTTTAAGCGCGTCTTGAGGAAGTTGGTCATGTCTGGTCGAGCACGTCGCAGTTTTACAGTATCGCTTTGCATTGTGGGTAACGAGGTGTCTTCTGGCTGAGATCTTGCTCATTCGCTGCCGCTGGTGTTTCAGGAGTCCTACCCGTCGACGCCGCCGATATGGTTCGTGGAGTCCGATGACCCGAGCCTGACTGGAGTGCTGGAGCGGCTGGAGGACGTCAGGAGGAGCAGCACACTGGTAACATAGTTATGGGTTTTTCTTGTTTTTCTTCTCAGAGTTATTGCCGTTTGATTATAACTAGGGATGTAACAATTAACCGCGAGCCGGTTGAAAATCGATTCAAATACGTGACGATTCAAATCGGTTGAGATGCTAAAGCAGGGCTGCCCGAACTGGGTCCTGGAGGGCCGGTGTCCTGCGGAGTTTAGCTCTAGCTTGCCTCAACACACCTGCTGGAAAGCTTTTAGTATGCCTAGTAAGAGCTTGATTAGCTGCTTCAGGTGTGTCTAATTGGGGTTGGAGCTAAACTCTGCAGGACACCGGCCCTCCAGGACCGAGTTTGGGCAGCCCTGCGCTAAACAAATCGTGATTCAGTTAGGTGTAAGAGTTTATATGAATGTATGTCTGAGGGGAACTTAC